CTGGGTGACAGAATAATCTGTACACCAAACCCCCACAACATGCAATTTACCCATGTAATAAACCTGCACCTGTACCCTTGAACCTAAAATAAAATCTGGAAAGAAAAAAACACTTATCTTTATGGTTATATATAAAAAGGCTGTTGATATCTTGTTAGGTGGATACTGTGTAACCTCAGGAAGTAAAGAAGTTTTTCCTTGGTTACATCTGGTTTAGTTTGTTTAACTTCCATTATCTGTACCCCATTCTATAAAGCTTTGTTATCAGCCAAGCTTCCATGCTGCAAAATTGAACTCACAAAATAATTTCTCATAATTGCTTAAGATGTTTCTCTTCCCAAGAACATTTACATTTTTAAAGGAAACTCTAGAAGATACAAAAGATTCCTAGTTCTTTAATCAATTGCTTTCTCAGACCATTCAAACAGGGCTGATATGTTGCAAAACTTCAAGGGGTGCCATACTTGACAATTAATGAGGAAAGAATTTCGTATCATGGTTTTCACACCTTGCATACTGGAACCTCTGAGATTATGGAGGAGCTAGAGAGAGAACTCAAAGGACTCTCATTTTCTTTTACCACCTGTAGGCTTTTTAAAATCTAGTTTCCATATTTTGGACATCTTCTACTTGAAAAAGACAGTTTGAAATCCACAGGGTTATGATAGGATACTTTTTCAAACCCTGTTTTTTTGTTTGTTTGTTTTTGTTTTTTAAATGAATGGATTGAGAGACTACATGGGAAAGATTTGTTTTACCAGTAGGGCATCCAAATCCTTTGACTTTGACTAACCCCCCCTGACTTGGGATAACATGTAAGATTCTTATTATCAAGTAGCCTGTTACTGTTTACAACATACACCTTCATCTCATCATTGCTGGGTAATCCAATTCTATGAGGTTCGGTGAAAACAAAGTGTCATTGTGTGCTTGATGTGGTGACTGTTGAAACAGCCGAATTTCTCAAATGTTAAAGGGCTCTTAAATTTTCTATTCACAAATGTGTTTATACAACAAGCTTAAAGGGAGGCTGCAAAAAACTTTTTTGATTATAGAAACAAAATAGCAAAATCCCTTACATTCTCTCCATCCTCCATCCTCTATTTTTTTTTTTTTTTTTTGGCATTCACACAATGTGCATATCTTTGAACATTTAAATATTGTCATTTACTATCAGAACTGGAAGAGGTCTTACAAAGGCCATCTCAAGCAACCTCCTACCAGGGAAGAGATTTTTCTTCATCATTTGTCATAGAATCCTACATTTAAAAATCTATAAATAGGAATATATTGTAAAATTTCTTTAAAACACAGAACACATCCTATAGAGACTGGCATCTGAAAATTGCTTGAGTTAAGTTACATAAAATGCCTGAGGTAGTGTAAGGTAAAGGTTGAATCTTCAAGTAAAAGTGACAGGAAATATCAGCAGTGGAAGGATTGCTGGGTGCAAAGAATGCCTATGTTACCAGCTATTTTCTTCCTGTTAAAAGACTTATTTCCCCTCCTGTGAGTAGATCTGATCCCCACCCAGTTTTTTCAACCAGCCAGTTATGATTACTTCTTCTAATATTTTCTCTGCTTCACTGGCCTCTAGTCATTACATAAAATCATTAACACCAAACACAGTAAGCCCCATTAATTCACATCTGGGGATGGCTGGGCCAAAGAGCTGAGTAGGTTGTTGTTTGTGCTTTCAAGGTGAGAAGAGATCAAGAACTAGATGTAATCCCCAAGCCTGATCAACTCTTCAAACAGATTCAAAAGAGAGTTATATAAAAGGAATAGCTGGGGTAGTGAATTGGACTGGAGTGTGCATTTGCTTTTGGAATTTTTATTTTTTTGTCTGTCTTGCTAAGTTTTTTTAGTAAGAGTTGCTCTTTAGGGTTCCTTATTCTTAGATACATAAGTTTAGTCAGAAGGTCCAAATAACTTAGCCAGGGCTGTGTGAGGCCTGTCACGTGGGAAGATGCCCCTTTGAATTAGACATGGCCCTGGGTTCATCTTAATAAATATGCTCCATGGGATTACCAAGGAAAAAGTAATCCAAAGTCTGAAAAGTCAAGAGAATGAACTACATGGATACATGAACGTTGACTATTTTCTTTCTTCACTTTAAACCTCTACCCTACAGTACAGTGGTCTAGGTTACTATTGGTCTTCACTTAAGACAGACCTCCTCCTTCTGGCACAAGAATGAGGCTATTTGCATAACTCTGAAGGTTGAACTGTATAGTCAACATAGATTAAGTTCATGTTTGTATACAAGGCACTAAGGTAATGTGGAGATGATGGAGATGTGGTAATGATGGAGATGGTGGAACTCCTTGTACTACCCTTCCCTGGTTCCTTCCTTCAGACTCATTTCTCTTTCTGATCCACCTTTCAGGCACTCCTGTGCTCCCACACATTCTCTTTGTTGTTCTTTGCTTCTATTAGCTTAAGTCAATTATCTTTCACTCTAGGTTTACAAGTGAGTCTTGCCATGGTTGTCATACTCAGGGTGCTCATGTTTCAGCAATTCTTTGTAGCACTTTTGAAAAAAGATGAGTGTTTTATAAACTGTTAATAGGTATTCTAAGAGGGATCTATGGTCAAACATGTTTGGCAAAGCTACATTCTACATCTCTCTATATACGTATTTTACTATTAAAAGGACTAAAACATATCTCAAACAAATTTAAGCAACAGCAGAAAGAATAGTTAGATAATTTCTTGGCTCAGGCAACTGGGAAATCCAGAGATAGAGCTGCCCTCAGGTACTTTGCCAAGAGCCCAAGGAATGTCATGAGGTCTTCTTTCTGTCTCTTCACGGACATCCTACCACAGAATGTTTTAGCTGTGCTTGTGTCTGTGAATTTTGTAATTTTCTTGTGTTGATGACTTTCTATCATTCAATGGCATGTTGGTGGCCATGAGGCAGAGAGAAGAGTGTATCACAGAAGTATTAAGGCTAACATCATCTTAGTTTAGTGACCTCCTAGATGAAATCGTCTTTTCAACCAGAAAAAGGCATGCAAAATCTCAGGCTCTTACTTGCCTAATTTGGATTATAGTCTAAACCTGGTATGTGGTCTCATAGCCAGCATAACTGGGGTATTATGATTCGCCAGGATTTGGTTCCAAGGCTGTGTCTTGTGACCAGGGCATCAGCTTATTATGACTGGAAAGTTCACGAAGATCGGATAGAAAAAGGGGAAACTCATCAGGAGAAAGAGGCTATTCTTGACAGAAGTGGGAAAAGGGATGCTGTGCACATAAAAACAACAAATGTCTCTAAATACTTTTGCATATTGGAATTACCTGGGGAGATTTAAAAAATACTAACATACAAGTTGACCCCCAGTGATTTTGATTTAATTTATCTAGGGTATGGCCCGGGCAATCAGGTCTTTAAAAGTTCCCCAGATGATTCTAATGTGCAGTAATTGCTGAACGCCCATTGTCTGGTTGCTTTTCAGGTCATTATTTTACACATAACCAAAGATTAATCCTTCTAAATCTCAGTCCTCTGGTCTAAACAAACCTCTGTCTTTGAATGAATGCATTCAGGACCACTGAAATTTGATTTCAACTTCCCTTTCCAATCTCATTCCACTACTATTTTATTTATACCTTGTGCTCCAGCAAATGTGGCATGCTTACTGGTGTCCAAGTATCTGTAAAACACCTGTAGTTTCCTATGGATAATTTCACATTTTTTTTCAAGTTAGAACAGAGCACTCCAACAGAATTTTTTTTTTTTTTTGCAATGATGAAAATGTTCTACACTGTGCAATTTGGTAGCCATTAGCTACATGTGGCTACTGAGCACTTGAAATGGGCTCAATAATATGACTGAATTTTTACTTTTATTTCAGCTCAAGTTAAATAGTCACATGTGGTTAATGGTAACTTTAACAGAACAGGCAGAATGTCTTATTCTGTGCATCTCAATCAACATTCTGTAAAAATGTTCAAGGTTCATGGTGTGTAACCCACTGTCCTGAAGATTTCCTGGATGTTTCCAGCTAAGGGACTCCTTTTCTTGTTAATTACTCAGGACTTTTGTTTTTTTTTTTTGAGACGGAGTCTTGCTCTGTCACCAGGCTGGAGTGCAGTGGCCTGATCTCGGCTCACTGCAAGCTCCACCTCCCGGGTTCACGCCATTCTCCTGCCTCAGCCTCTCGAGTAGAGTAGCTGGGATTATAGGCCCCTGCCACCGCGCCCATCTAAAGTTTTTTTTTTATTTTTTTTTGGTATTTTTACTAGAGACGGTGACTCACCTTGTTAGCCAGGATGGTCTTGATCTCCTGACTTTGTGATCCGCCTGCCTCAGCCTCCCAAAGTGCTGGGATTACAGGTGTGAGCCACCGTGCCCGGCCAATTACTGAGGACTTTAATTGGACCATAAACGTGACACTTATCTATACTGCCTCATTGCTTTTCCTATTATTGCCCTTGTCTCCAGCCTTGCATCCCCAAATGTCAGAAATTTCCTGAAATGAGGAACTTATTTGAGGGCTGTGTTTAATAAAATCCCAATAAGCATTTGTCAAATAAAAGCAGGCAAAATTGTACCAAGCATAAATGTGTACATACTTATGCACTGTAGATGTACAAAGACACATACATTACTGGACAACAGATACATACACATAGAGGTTCATATGTTCAAAAGTGTTGCTGGTTAGATAGGACGGCACATGTCGTGGCTGTGTGAGAGAAACTGGGTCAGTAGAATAGATAGGAGAGGATGACTAATCTGTGAAATGACCACAGGGTGCTTGCCTAATTTATTTGGCTGGGAGGTAAAAATAATTGTGGCGATCAGAAGTACAAATGATTTTTATTAAAGTAAATGAGGAGGTGTGGCCACTCAGAATATACTCTAAATTCACAGTTCAGGAAAAATTCTGAAATCCGTCCTGATAAAATGGTTACGAATTCATCCTGACTCACACTTTTTTCCAGAATGAATTTATAAAATGATGAACTCTCACTTCCTAAATTTTCTGCAGATGCCACTGTTGCTGGAGAAATGTCACTGCTAGAGAATAGAAGACTATTATTCCAAAGGGTATTTGAGACTGACTGAATCAGGTCTGGAATATTATTGAAATGGTAAGATAAACTCAAGTACTTTCTGGGAAGAGAAAAATCCTTTTTAGAAAACATGGTCCCTTCTGAATTATGGGCAAATGTCATCGACTTGTTTTCAATGAAACTTTATCTACTAACAGCGAGGAGATGGGACAAAGCTCTGAGCTCCCCGCCCCTGGGAGTCCTGCAGCTGAGGTTTCTTTCCCTTGAGATCGTGGGTAATGGAAACAGCTGAAGTTAGAGGTCATTAACATTTTGAGAACACCGCAAACTGACAGTGTGTTATGTTATGACATTTCATCCCAAGACATTTAATCTCTTTTAATTAGTGTTTATGTTGGTAATACTTCACAGTTATTTCCTTTTGCATAAAAATGGAACACTTGGGCATGTCATTAACATAAGACTGATTTGCTTATTATCCATAGTAATTGTTTCTAGATCTTTTTCTCCTTTCCTTCCTCCTTTCTGCGTTCTCTTCATTGATTTTGACCTTTGCTTTCATTTATGCTAGTTTTGAAAACATTTCCCATTTTTTCCTTTGTTGATATTCGACCTAGCCAGTTCGTTGGTTGGGGTTCTCATACGATATTCTTAGTAAACTTTAAGTGTATGGTTTGGAAGAGAGCCCATCTCACCTCTCTGAAAATGCTCATGGCACCCTTGTTGTTGGTTAGAAACAACTTCTTCTCTGAACGATGTTCCATGGATGACTCAGCTGCATAAAACTTCCCTCTCCCCTGCTTTCCTCCTCTCCTTGGCTTAGGATATTATTGTAAGCTTCTGGCACCTGCCTTCCTCCTTCCATTTATCTTTCCTTCTTATGTGCCAGGTACAGTACTTTGTCTTCCTTTAAAGTTACTTAAGCTTTTCTTGCCCCAAAAACCTCTTCATTAAATCCAGAAATGATGAGTGTTGATTATTTTTACTAGAGAAATTATACATTCCTTTGCATAAAAAAGTAGATGCATAGTTTATTCCATGAACTAGTAAAAATTCCATGCAATTTTCTTTACTTTTAAATAAATGAACATAATTTTTGTTATAAATCTTTATTTTGCCATGTGATTAAAACCTAATCTCAGTTTAGGCAGAGTTTCTCAGCCTTGACACTATTGAGATTTGGGGCTGGGTAATTCTTTCGGAAACTGTGTATTATAGAATATTTAGGAGCATCCCTGACCCATGTCTGCCAGATACCAGGAGCACCTCCCAGCTGTAACAACCAGACACATCTTCAGAGATTGCCAAATATCTGCTGAGAGGCAAAAGAGTTCCCTGTTGAGAACGGCTAGTCTAGTGGGGCTCCCCTCCCTTTCTCTGGGTTTGTCTATAATGGAAGGCAAGGACTTAGGGAAAGAGGGAGGCCGGTCCTTGAAATCATTCTGCATCCACACAGGTGCATCTACAGCATCCCATGCCTACTGTGACCGTGAGCCCCTGGTGCCTTTACCTTGATCCGACTGAGGGCTCTCGGAGTAGCTGCCTCTACTCTGCTCTCAGGCATAAGGGAACCTCCTGTTCCTGGCAGGGCTACAAGGTACACTGGTAAGTAGCCTTAGGCCTGTCTGTAGTGCTGTTCTAGGGAGCCAGGCTGAGGGACAGGAATACTGGGATTTTGCTGGCTGCAGACTGTCCCTTGGGGATAGGGGCCCAGTTTGGTCTGGTCTTGAATTCCTAATTCTCTGTGGACTTTCTAACAGAACACCCAACTCAGGAGCCTGACATCACATAAGCTCTGTTTCTGCTGTGACTTTCCTTGTTCCTTGCAGGTCTGCCGCCCTTGTGTAGTTTGAGGACAAGGAAGCCTGGAGTTTCATCTGGTTTTCCAAATATAATGTTTTATGCCCTAAAAGTTACGTATTTCATAGTTGTGCTTTTGACACCAACCTAGTATTTTTCTCTGCTTTTCTGCTGCATTCCTTCCTTGAGGCAATGTATTCTGGCAAGCAATGTGTGGAGAAAAGGATACAAGAAAATAAGAGAAAAAAGTTTTGGTTGAAATCAAGTTTATAACATCCTTACCCTATTTTTAAAATTTGAGATTCCTATGCCTCTTTTTAAAAAATGAGTTTCTTCTCATATGTATATTCTGCATAATATTTTTCTTGTGGTTTTAGATACAGAAACTGTTTCTCTGTGAAATCATTCTCTTAACTTTATTCACATAAATTCTTTATTTTGATATGATTAAATCAATTAATTGATGTTTTTGGAGTTTTAAGAAGTTCTTCCCTTACTCTAGGGCACATTACCTTCCATCTTTATAGTTTTCCTTGATTTATTTCTTTAATATATCTGAATTCCATCCTTTTATGTGGTAATAGGTGTGAATTTTTCTCCATAATGAGCAATTTTGCTATCATAATTTACGGAACCATCTGATTTGCAGTGCCATCTTTATTACATATTAAATTCTGAGATACAAATCTGTCTCACAGAAATCCTGGTCTGTAGGTCAGTTTTGTTGCTTTTTGCATCAATATCATACTGTTTCTTAGCACAATAAACTTGTAGCTATTCTTAATAGCTGTTAGGCTAAATTTTTTATCTCCTTTGCTTATCATGTTGATATTATCTATAATTATAATTCAAGGTTGCTTTTAAACAAATAAATACAGACTATCTGTTAGACTACACACCAGTATTTTGGTGGGGTAAATAAATGGAAATGAAAGCAGTAGAAAGTATTGAGCCTATTGCATTCTGGGCCACAGCATAAACATTGAGTAGAAATCACTATTAGACTGGGAGGAGAAACTCCAATTTTGGGGCTACAAGGATTAAGCTGCATGACTAAGAAAGCATTCACCTCTAGAAATTTTAAAATTGAAAACCATAACAAATGAATGTAAAACTTAACTGAAGTGTTGCATAGTGTAATAGAAGCATCTAAATGGAGAATTCATTAATTGTAATATAGATCTGGAAAATTTTTATGGAATGCAGAAGGCAGAGGCCAAAGTTGGAAAATAAGAGGGGTTGATAAACATAGAAATTGAAATAATGGCAAATAGGTATCTAATCAGTATTCTAGAAGGAGAAATTTATAAAGTATACATAAATCAATAATAATAATAATGCCCAACTTGTAGAATAGAAACAACACAACAAAGAGCTAAATGTTTGGGAAACAATAGCAGCAAACCGTGAGGGAATGAATGGGATTACCTTAGAAGGTTCTTTTGTTCTTGGGCTGCGGGTAAGTATACTGATCACAGTTAGACTTTGCTAAGTATGCATATTAAAATTTCAAGGATAATCACAAAGAAAAACTGAATGTTTATATTCCAAAATTATAAAAAAATAAAAAGAAAACTGGGGGAAAGACCCCAATCAATCTAGAACAAGGCAATTATAGAACAATTCTTTCTTTCTTTCTTTTTTTTTTTTTATAGACTGAGTCTGTCTCTGTTGCCAGGCTGGAGTGCAGTGGTGTGATCTCGGCTCACTGCAATCTCCACCTTTCAGGTTCAAGTTATTCTCCTGCCTCTGCCTTCTGAGTAGCTAGGATTACAGGAATGTGCTGCCATACCCAGCTAATTTTTATATTTTTAGTAGAGACCAGGTTTCACCATGTTGGCCAGGATGGTCTTGATCTCCTGACCTTGTGATCCACCCACCTCGGCCTCCCAAGGTGTTGGGATTACAGGCGTGAGCCACTGTGCCCGGCCAAAACAATTCTAACTGGAGGGTCAATAAACTGGCAAAGTCTCAGCATTTTAGATTTTTACATAAGCAAACCAATGCACAATGTAAGCAGTACAACAAAACTAGAGACTTTACCTATCAGAAGCCACTGACTAACCTCTACCTAGGTATTTTCCACTCTAAGCCATCAAATAGATTCTCTTTGCCTTCCTTCCATGTCAGCCTGTCAAAGCCTGCTGCCCATGCTACTGCAACTGAGCTCTCTGAACCCCTTCTGGTTCTGAGTGCTACCCCGTGCATGAATCATCTGCTACTCAAATAAACTGTGTTAAATGTATTTTCTCTAAAGTTTTTCTTTCTAATTTAATGAGAAAAAAATCACAAAAATTGATACAAAGAGAAAATACAAAATAAAGCAATAAGAAGAAATCCAAATAATTAGGAAACACTATGAACTGGCATAGGTTGTTTTTAGACATACCTAATACAAAAGCACACAATGAAAAAGGAGAAAACTGACAAGGCTATTGTAATGAACTCTATAAGTTTGCCTCTTATTAACCTAAAAAGCTAGCAATTTCATATTGTTCTAATGTGACAGTATAAGACAACATAGACCTTAAGACCTTAAGACAGAAACGTTTGAGATAAAGAGTATAATTATATATTAATGTAACTTGGAATCCACTAGGAGAATATAATACTTCTTAAGAATATAATAGCAGAGATTAAAAGCATATGAAGCAAAAAATTGACAAAATTACAGGGAAAAACAAAAATATCCAGGATCATAGTGGGAGATTTTAACACCACTCCCTGTCATTGATAATTGAACAATGCAAGTATATGAAAGATTTGAATAATACAAAAGAAAAATCATCTAGCAGACATGCAAAATATTTTTCTGTTGGAAAATAGACATGGTTTTCAAGACCACAAAGAACATTTTTGGAAATAAATCATCTTTAAAACCATAAATCAAGCATCAGTAAATATCAGGGGACCTGTATGATAGAGATAGAGGTTTTTCACCATAGAGCAAGTCAGTCTCAACAAATTTTAATAAATCAGAATTATACAAACTATATTTCTGACCACAATACAGTTAATTAAGAAATCAGTAATTACAGAATAATTTTCAAAAATCCCACACTGTTAGAAATTAAAAATAATCTTTGAATAATCAATGTTAAAAGTTTGAAAGAGAACTATTGAACAAACTCAAAATAGAGGATAGCATATAATACAGACAGGAGTATAAGTCAATGAAAAAGGAAACATCTCTTAGAATTAATAAAAGCAAAAACTGCTTCTTTGGAAAGAAAAAAAATGAAATCATCCAAGCATTGACATGATTGATGTGCAAAAAG